CTTGAAGACATTAAAAAAAAAAAAAAAAGCCTAACTCTTTTGGAGCCACATATTCTTTAAGGCTGTGACAAAATCTGTTACCCAATTTCCTCAAAAGTTTAATTCCCTGCAAAAGAGAGTTCTGTTTTTCTGTCTCATTACTGGTATGATAATTCTAAAAGAATTCCTTTTGATATTATTTATCTTAAACCAGGAGCTGGGCTTTTACTTGCAGCCCCTCAAGCTCTCTGCTGCCAAATGTCCTGCAGTTTCCTGTAATTCTGAAGGGGAAACATAAGAACACTCTCTTAAGTCTTAGAGTAGACTCGTTTTCGAAAAATGAAGAAAAGAAGGATCTCCCCAAAAGAAGAAAAACAGAACACTGTATCTGTGCTGTGGAAAGTGGCATGGACACACTTTACACCATTGCCTTGCACTTTGTTGCCCTCATTCCCACGCAAACATTAAGTATGACTACCAGGCAGGCACCACTGTCTTAAATCAAAATAATTTCATTGGAACTTAGTTATATATACAAAGTTAGGATCCAAGATAGTCTTGGACATGTTTTTATGGCTTTTGACTCTTCTCACCAACATTCAATGACAGGCTACCATACTATCTCACAGACTTCTTTAGGAAGTGCCCTTGGACTTCCCATAAGGGGGAACTGCTGTTAAATGTCATGTGGAAGCAGGACTTACATTTTTTTTCAAGGCCAATACATTAGATTTCCTTTCCTGTCAGAAGGCTTTGAATCACATGCATTTCCTTCTGTGGAACAAAACTGGAACTTGGATTTCAAAGGAGTGAACATACGTACCACATTCTGTTTCCAATATAGGATGCTATCAGTATTTCCCAACAAAAAAATGGAGTAACCATCTGCAAGTACTAGTACATCCATTCATTTCACTTTATTTCCCATCAGAGTGTGTGTAGCTTGCAAAAGCACATCTTAAATTGTTTATTGTGGCATTATCACTGGGCTAAATCAGGCTGCTTGTATGCAATGAGGGAGATGGAATGTATGGGAACCAAGAATTCAAAAGAATAAAACTATGGGTGGCAGTGACATGAGTTACAAATAAGATGTGTTATACATTGAAGACATTCTGGTTTTCTGGATCAGCTGTTCTCCTTCAGGTGCCTTCTAGATGACTTGGATTACAATTTCTAGGCTGAGAATAATGGGAATTATATCTGATATATCTGGAGAGCATGAGTTTGGGAAGAGTCTTTTTCCAATAAAATATATGCAACCATTAAGCAGTATAAATATAGGAAAATGCTTTTTGGATGGACATTATTGTAATGAGATGAACAATTGTATCTAAGCAATTTAAGGAATATATTAAAGAAAGAAAAAGTGTGCAGGATCTTTAAGACTTTTCTTTTCTTTTACAAAATATGCACTAAAAATATATGAGATGGAAGCAACAACATTTCAATAAACAAGATAATCTGACTAAGAAATCAAAACTGTCATTCTGGAAGAAATAGATTCAGTTCTACAGATGTGATCTCCTTTACCATGAATAAGTAGAGCCAAGTTTCTCAACTGCTGTCATTTTTATTAATTTCTCAGAATTATTATGTAAAATATACACAACTTAGATTTGATAAAGACTTTTCCCAGTACTGTGCTGTTTATGTTGTTTTGAAGAACCTCCTTTTCCAGAAATCATTTTGCATGTTAAGATACAGTTTTTAATAGTGCAAACCTTACTATAAATGGAACAAAAGAAATTTCAGGCTAGTTGTACTGATACCTGTGATATAGGCATATGCTGCCACCTTGGGGAAGACTCCTTTCCTGAAGCGGGAGGCATCTTGAGTATAGTAACATAAATCAATTTCATGTTTGGCCTGTCATATCCCCACAGGAAGAAAAGTTTCTTAAATCCTTCTACTCATGCGGTCATAAGATCTTCCAGATGTCTCTGAGCATCATTCATGTTATGATACTCATTGTGGAGAATTGCCATTGTTCTGAGTTGGAGCAGCATAGCTTAACATGTAATTTCACAATGCCTGTCTTAAATTAATATTACCTGGAATAGCAAACCAGTACAATGAATTAGTTCAACAGTTATACCAGTCTTCCCAGCTTAGTGGCCCAGTTTACACAACACATTTAACTCAGTGACCAACTAAACCAATAAAATTTCCTTATTGGGAATTCTGTCAGTGCATAAACTACCTTGATCAAAAATCACTATTTTTGGCTTACAGAATCCTCATTCATTTTTTCCAGGAAGCAGATTCCTGTGAACCTTTGTACCAGAAGAATATTGATAAAGCTTCCTTTATCAATGGCTAGGATGGAAGCAGTTGGCATGAGTTAGACAATTTGTTGTTCAGTCATTAAGTCGTGTCCGACTCTTCATGACCCCATGAACCATATTGCACCAGGCCTTCCTGTCCTTCACTGCATCCCTGAGTTTGCTCAGTTTCATGCTCATTGCTTCGAGTTAGACAATACCACCAATTAATGTTTAGGAGATGTGTTCTGTCCTGCTAGGCTTGGCAGTGGATTCTGTAATGAAGAAACTTGCTTATATAGCTACTCTCTCTTTCCAGCTTGTTCTTGTAGGACTAGGTATACAAAATAGATCAATGATTGGGTTTAGGTACGAATTAGCTGACTGATTGATTAACATAATTTTAGTATTCTCATACATGCAACCAACACTACTACCCTATCATATTGTGAAAACAAGGCTGGTGTCTCAAGCTATGTTTAGACAAAAGTTCCTAGGATTCCCAAACAGGGAAGGTTGGTCTTTACTGTCTTCTATAAAAGAAATAACCAGATTTTGCAGCCAGAGTTTATTGAAGTATTCCATTTATATCAGAGTGTAGCTATTCTTGTGCTACTAAATTATTCAGAATGTCTTTCTCAATATCAGTGATCAAGTCATAGGCACTCAGATAATTTCCAGCTTTCAAAACATCTGTTTTTTACAGAGATCTCTTTAAGAAAGGAAAATCCCAATCTCCTGTTTTTTAAGAAGATCTTAAATATATTCTTATTCACAATGTGTTTTGGTGTTAATAGTACTGGGCAATGTAATGTAATGATTGTGAATCATTTGTATGGTATGATATGCAAACCACCTTGAGTCCTTTGGGAAATGGGCAGCTTATATATAAATATAAATGCATGGAAATTCAAGCTAATATTCATTATTATAATTGTTAATTCACTTGCATGCTCATTCTTATGTCAGATAGACTGGATGGAGCAATGCAAGACCTGTGAAACAGGGTTCCTGGACTTTCAGGTTTGAGGACCATAATGTCAATTTTTTTAATAAACTCCCATATAATGGTAGCTGTCCTTCTAGTATCTGTTCACTGAAATAAAAAATAATAACAAAAAGAGACCATGAATTAAGTAATCATGAAAAGTGCTTTTAAACTATTTTGTATTTTATTTATCACAACTACATCTACACATAGTTAAAAAATAGTATTACGTATATATGCAAGATCATCACAGAAGAGGAAGCTTTCGGACGACCTACTAAAAAGATCTCAAGGGGCAGTGACACTTCGTCCTTTTCATTTACTTCTCTTCCCTCCCCTCTACACTTATTTCAAAAAAAGTTAAATAAAAGAAGCTTAAAAAATCCAGGAAAGGTCTTTTTAATGACCAATTCCCCCCTCCTCCACTTATTGTCTTGTTCGCCTTTTGTGCCTGCTTATACAAGCAACCACTTTGTGCTAGAGAAACAACCACACTATTTGCTGCCAGAGGTTGGCAGATCACAGCAGGCAGGCAGATTCAAGCAAGACTGGGGCTCCTGCAGGAATGAGTGCAGTGGTAGCCCCAGCCTGTATGTGCAGTGGTAGCTGCCAGGGGTTCAAAGGAAACTTCAGCTGCAGGGTGATGTGACTAAAGATGACCTTATAGGTGGATCTGGTGATCTCTCCTCCACCTCTGCATTGTGGCCTCTACTTCTCATCCTCACTATTGAAGAAAGGGTCTAGGAGGCACAGTTGGGACATCCCTGGGGGTTGAAGCTGAAAAGTGAGATGTGTTGAGGGTCTGTGGGTTAGCTAGGTAGATATGGGCAATGGGGACATATACAATGGAGCAATGTTGGTCATAGGCAAGAATATTTATGGGCAGCCCAAATCAGCTGGTAGTTTTTCTTCCAGTCTTGTTCCTAGATCAGCCCATATTTCCCTCTCACATCACTCCAAACACCGAAGTACAATTTGGTCAGCGTCTGTGCCAGTGCAAGAACTGTGTGAATGAATTTGATGTAGAGGAGTACAGAGAACACCTTGGAGAAATTATATGGTTATCATTAGTAAAATATGAGCTTACCTGGGAAAACAGGGAAGCATGAGAAGGAAACTGAAGAATGCCCAGCCTTGACTTTCTTTGGTATAAGATGGAGGGAAGGGTAAATGCTGCCAGGCTTTCAAGATTCTGTTATTATAACCTATATCAACAAAGTAGAGTTCTAGTATTTTTTGTGGTATCTGTTTCCTGAGTGGGCCAACCAAGCTGAAACATTTTCTCTTTTAACAACCATTTTAATATTTATTATATTCTAATTGTTTATAAAACAGATCGTCTTGGTTCTTTATGTTCTTATAGCTGCAGCATTTTGTGTAATTACTGCTTTTATATATTGTAAGCTGCTTTGAGTGACTTCTGCTTTGGGGGAAAATCAATATATATTTGTTACTCAAGTAAAAGTATGTAAAAACCAAATTAGGTAACTAAGAATAATACCAAAGGAAAAGGAAAGGCAAAAATAGCTCCCTTCTTTAAGATTCACAGCTCTTCAAACCATTGAAGCATTGAAAAATACTTTTTACAACAATTTTCAAATGGTTTTCAGGTAAAATCAGGCTGACAATTTCAGAACAAGAAAATTATAAGGCGAGACAAATGATCAGACACTCTTATCAGCTCTAAATAAGGACATTCTGTAACTCATTAACTTATATAAAGGCTCTGTGTCAGTCTCACAGTGGTACCTTATCAAGATCTACTTCAAAGTACAGGTGGTTGGAACTATCACAGACAAAGGCTAAGAAGACAGAAACAGAGCAGAGAGCTTTATGGCATAATATGGTAAGTAAGCTTTGGAGGGTATCTCAGGATCAGATTGTTGCTTGATGCTGTTCATATCTGAGAATTGAATTTTTTTCCTCTCTAACTGCAGCGCTTTTAAGATGAGATATTTGATTAAGATTTACTGAGAATATGTTGATGAGTCAGGTTTTCTTGTGTGGAGGTTATAAATTAAGGGCTATCTTCCTTTCAAAGGTGTGTGTGTGTGTGTGTGTAAAATGTGTATGTGACTGTGTGGGTATAATTTATGGTAGAACTCTCTTAATAATTATAGCAATAGCCCAATAAGCCCTGAATAATACAGAAATAAATATGATTATTTGTGATATAAGACCCAGCTTAAATAGTCTTTACTTTCAGTAAAGAACTGAAGAAAGAACTCTGGGTAGCTTAAACAGAGAAGTGCAGGCTTCCAATGTATTCTTCACTGCTTTTCTAGAGGAAAGGACAAAGGACCATAATAGATCAGGTTTCACGGAACATTTTTGTGGTGTTCAATGACCCCCTATGGTTTAGAATATTGTCTCATGTGCCTGCCACATTTATTTTGGAACTTTGCCTTCTGCTTTTCAGTGATGTTGTACAGCTTTAAAAAAAAAACTACACATACTTCACATTGTCTCTGGCAATCTAGTATTCGGAACCCTTCTGCCTAGAATAATATAAATATAGATATAGGAGCAAACTTTAAAATACTCCAGTAACAAATTAGAGCTTGCGAAATCTTTATGTTATTCTTTGATAGAGTATTTAAACGATAAAAATCTTTAGAGAAGATGGGAAAGAGATGGTTACACTCAGTGGGATCCACACTACAGCATAAGGAAGGTTAACCCTTTTCTACCAAAATGAATATTGTTCCTCACTTGATTTGTGTTCTTAGAGGTTTCCCTATGTTAATAGCAAGAAAATATTTATTTCAGATTGATAGGTTACTTAGGAAATTTATTTGGAATAATGGATCGCCAAGGTTTTCTTTAGCTACTTTAGATTGCCATTTGAGAAAGGTGGCTTTAATTTAGCTAATTTGCAAAAATATCACCGGGCATATATTTTATCAGCTGTTAGAATGTGGAATGAAAATATAGTGGAATATTATCCTTTATGGGCTCTGCTGGAAAATTATTGTCTATTTCCCTTGCAGTCTTGGCAAGTTCTTGGAATAACACATAGTAAAAGGGTATTTTATTTCGAGGAGTGCAGGCAGTGAAAAATATAATGGGGTCATATTGGGACAAAGATTGGATTTTGATAATGAGACTCATGAACATTTAACACTTTGGAAAAATTCTATTCTAAAAATAGGTGGTCATACATTTTATTGAAAAGTTTGAGCAGAAGTGGGATTATGATTTAAACCAATTATTATGTAATGACTGTTTCAAGGGTTTTTCCCAACTTCAGTTTGGTCTTCCTAGTTCACAACAGTGGCAATATTTTCACTTAAGTATACTTGAACAGCTCAATATGGGCCAGACGTTGAGATGCTTCCTTGATTGATGGATTCCATGATAGAAGTAAAACCCATATCTCCATGAAAAGTTTAAGAATATTTTTAAAGTGGACATTATCAGAGGCTCTAAATCTTTACTTCATGTTTGGAATATCATGTTATTAAAAATGTAAAATGTAAATATAAAAATGGTGTCAACAGTTTTGAGATTAAAGTTGATTCACTAAAACAAAATGTATGTAGAGTATACGGGAGTCTCAAAAAAATGTATTTGAAAGGATGGTCTTCAGATTTTCTCTGTTGGAGGTATAAAAAAATCTGAGGCTTTTTTGACCCATATAATAAGTTCCTGTAATCATCTGGTACTTTTTTGGAATGGTATTTTAATGTATATAAGTAGCTTTATGGGAAAACATTTAAATATTAAAGAAGTTAATGTAATGTTGAACAAAAAGGTCCACACATCTGTTCAAAGATTGTGGTACAAAGTCCAATGCTACTATTTTAATTCCTAGGAATGGCAATTCAAGGACATTCTTCTTCAAGTGGTCTTCCTAACCAATTACGCTTACCTCAGATTTACAGTAGCAACGGCTATATAGCACTGCTACATTTGCTACATGATGTTACTGTTCATTTTTCATTTCCTAGGAATTTCAAGGGGAAAACACAATGTCTGACATCAGCAAGATGACCATAAATCTTCTCTTGCTTGGAAGAACACAGAGTGGGAAAAGTGCAGCAGGAAACACTCTTCTGGGCAGCACAGACTTTGCCAGTTGTCTTTCCCCATGCTCGGTGACTACATCTTGTCGCCTAGGCTGCAGCTGTAACATGTCAGATTTCGGGCGTCGGCAAGGAAGAGCACTAACTGTGCAAGTCCGTGTGCTGGACACTCCTGGATATCCTCACAGCAGCCTGAGCAAAGAGCAGATACAGCGAGAAGTAAAAGACGCGCTAGCTCAGCACTTTGGAGAGAAAGGTTTGCACTTGGCACTTTTGGTTCTGAGAGCTGATGTTGTACTGTGTGAAGAAGAAGAGGCTTCCACCATACAGTGGATCCAGGTAATGTACATGATAAATAACACCGTTATATACATTGCCCCACCCCCATCCCCAGGATTCAGTACTCAGAGAACATAACAATCAAAATACAATAGAAATTGCACGTTAAAATATTGGGGTGGGAATTAAAATAAAATGTTATGAATGAAAACAATGAGATGGGGGGAGGGTGAATTCATTCAAATCCAGTTCTTACACTGAACTAGCATGATGTTCTGTACATATTTGGTGACAGATTTTAACAAATACAGATTTTAATAAAGGCAACCAGTTTGTAGCTGGATTCCAAAGACTAGAAATTCTAACATAGAATATGGCCTGATAGAACTGTGAATTTACCGCAATCTTCAATTTGACCACAGGATGGCACATTCATTATAATTTCAAGTAGTTGCATTGGGGGGGGGGAATAATAAACATGATAAAGAAACTTTAATATTTGCTATATTGATCCAGTCTTCTTTGCCCCCTTTTTCTGTGAAGTTCAGAATAATATATATGGCTTCCCCAAGATATATATCTTGCTTAGGCAATTAATAAGTGACTATGAGTTGAATCAAATTTTGCATGAAAAGGAGATACACAATGGAATTACCTGGATTATCCTTCCTACCAAACCTATGATATCTCCCAAAAGCCCCTTTGAAAGAGTTGGGATTTCCCAACAATAAGGAATGGCAGGAGGTTGAAAAACCCCATTGCAGATCAAAGCCAATGCTCGGCTTATATATTGAGAAAGATAAAATCATAAATATAAAATAATTGTATTGAGGTAATGTTCATTTTTTTACCTTTGCAGGAACTCCTTGGGCCTAACTGGAAGACTTACACTGTCATTCTATTTACTCATGCAGACCAGATTGAAGAGTCACCATTTACTATAGAGAAATATTTGCTTAGTGCCTCAGACACACTACGTAAAGTAATGCAGTCAGTACAGCAAAAATGCATTTTCATAGACAATCATGCAAGGATTCTGAAACACGAAAACCTAAAAGCTTTAAGAAAAATTATGGAGGTTCTAAAACAAAACAATTACCAGACCCTTCAAGTGAAATAAACAATGCTATACATTTAAGTAACTTATTCTTTCCAAGTTCTGAGATGCTTGCTGCTTTTATAATTCACTCTTCTGAAGGATTTTTTAAAATAAATTCTTTATTAAGAAACTTTTCTATTTTTATTATTGAATACAACTAGATAAGACGAATAAAGTTGAAACTATCCTTAAGAGTTAATACAGTTAGCTAAACACAGATAGTATTTAATAATAATATCCTGATTATTATGTCAGGTAAACAATGCCAAGAATGGAGGAAAATTTCATGCCTGCTATCAGCCTTTTTTCAGTTCTGTTGCTTAATCTTCCAACCATTGCATTTTGACAATAGGCATAGGAGAAGATACCAATTTAGCTATCTGTTATTAACCTTTTAAATTTTAAATGCCCTATATAATTGGCAGTAGTCCATAATGACAGTAATATGCCTCTACTCAACAGCAATCACTGAATTCACCAAAGCTTCTAAGAAGGAAAGAACAATTTAAAGGAAATTAGAAGCAAACACATTTGGAACTCTTTGGTGCTTTGGGGTCCATAGCTATTTTCAGATCTTATTGTTTCCTTAATATCAGATTGCAGTATACCATTAAAACTACTACTTATTTTCACACCTGTATATCCAGGATCAAACATAAATTTCTTATGTTCAACTCTCAAGGTGGTTTTAAAATACCTATGCTTTGCGTGCTGATTGGCCTACATTTCCAGTCAATGATTTATTGAAAATATATTAACACTAGCCCATATTGACATACTGGTAACATCAGTCTAGCTCTAAATTATACTCCTTGATCTCCTTTGTCTCTGAACTTCCAGTTTGTTTGTGCTGAAGCTGATTAATCCAACTTGCCTTGTTTATTTATTTAGTACTACAGAGAATATGTTTGAGGGGGATAGACAGGATGATCTCACTTCAGGCCTGTATAGCTTGTTTGGCAGGTATGATGAAATCAACAATATCTGCTCTGCATTGAATATCACTTGGACAGAATCCAGTAAAGACCCTTTGAATCCTTGAGGTATTGGGAAATAATTTGTAAATTGTGGCCCTCCTGGATACTTTGGGAAGGGGTGATTCTTCCTATTTTGAAGATGACACTGGTGGGTACCTCTCCTGAACAGAATATCTCTTGATCCAGCCACATTGACAACTTCTGTTTAGACTCCAATCTCTCCTTTTAAAGGAAGATTTCAAGAGAAGGTGGGAGGTCAGTTGCAGAGGGCCCGTGGAATGAAATGGGTTACTTCAATCCCTTTCAATCTGATTTCAAACCTGGTATGAGACTGAAATTGAATTGTCAGTCTTGTGGATGACTTTTGTTAGACTAAATAGTGGTCCTTCTAGGTCTGTCAACTGCATTCAGTAACATTAACCACAGTATCCTTCTGGACTGCCTGTGAGGGCTGTGAATGGGAGGGACTGATTCAGAGTGATTCCACTCCTAAGTAGTGTGGTTCCATTCAGTAGTGCTGTGGGGTGATTAATCAAACCTCTGGCAATGCAATGTGGGTTGGCACAGGGTTCAACTATTCCACCTATGGTATTTTTATGCCTGTATGAAACTGCTGGCAGAGATCATCCTTTGGTTCATGAAGAGGTATCATCATTATACCCACTACCTATAGCCATTGCAACCCAGGCAGGAAATACACTGGAGATTCACTCAGAACTTGAAGGCTATGAGGGATGGGTAAAGATGAAACAGACTGAAACTGAATCCCCAAAAAGGACAGTTGCTGTCTGAACAGAAATCATCTGACTTGATCTCAGTTCCTACTTTGGGTCTGCATGAGGGCATTATCCCTGAAGAAGCAGGTCTGTGACTGAGGGCTTCTCCTGAAAATGAAGGTCATATCCAAGTGGACCTTCCTCCAGCTTTGGCTGATGCACCACTTGCAGCCTTTCTATGAGCGGGCGGCTTTGGCAACAATTACCCATGCTCTAATCACCTCAAATTAGTGCAATGTGTTCTACCTGGGGCTGGCTCTGAAGACTACCCAGAAATTTCAGTTGGTAAAAATGCAGCAGCCTGGGGGAATGAAGTAGCCTTGCTGGTGGAAGAAAGCTGCTTCGGCAGGGCAAAAGGAACTGCACTGGTTGTAATAAATTTGTGAGTACAATTCAAAGTGCTGGGTTTTCATCTACAAGGCATGTTGTGACATGAGTCCAAGTTATCTCTGAGATCATTTCCCCAAACAGTATCTGCCTGTCCTGTGCCTTCAATATGAAAAGAGAGCCCTCCTCCTCGATAGGTAAGAGCTGAGTGTGGAGATAAGGAGTGTGCAGAATAACCAACCCCTAGATGTCTGGATGGCCCACACACAGTTAGCTTTTAAGAAGGCAGCATAGATGGTGCATTCCTTACCTGCATTCGGAGCTTATGTTCTATCTCACAGAGCTTCTATTTTAAGTGGTTTGAGTTTTAATTTTTCATGACTTTTTAGCTTTGTTTCCCTTTCACTGGCTAAATGGATTTTAATGACAGAAAGTATATTTTATCTATTTCTGAAGAATTCCTCTAGAATTGCTTTCCCAGGACTCCTGGTTCTGAAAATACATCTATTATTTTCACTGTTTCCTTTTTTTCTCTGGGCCATTCCATTAAGCACATTTAGGAAAAGTAGCATGCATTGCATATGCATATACAATAGACAAAAAGCTCTTCCTTATACCAGGTCTGCAAAATATTAAAAAACACAGACCACTTGGATGAACACTGGCTATGCATTGTTATATTTGAACTACAGTATTAATATATACTGTATAAATTTCACTAGTCTGACAACAGTACTTAGTTTTCATGGATTAGCAACACAGGAGTTTGGGGAGAGGGTACTAGTTCTAAACTATTTTCTGTCCCTGCTTGGAGATGCTACAGAATGAACTAAAGGTTATGGACATGTACAGTGCATCTTCTACCACTGATCTATATCCCTAATTAATGCTTTTATTCGGTTTTATATAAACAATTAACCACAAACGTTTATACTTTTGGTATGTTTCCTTAAAATTGAGCCTGACTCCTAGTAACTCATGGATTTGCTGAGTTTTCTCAGTGTTATACAAAAGTTGTTTGTCATTCCCTTCTTTCAGGATGTTTCTTCAACTTCCTTGTCTAGTGTATACCCTTGGTAATCCCTGGGTGTCTCCTATCCAAATACTAACCAGGTCTCTACTACTAAGCTTTTTAAGATAGCCAAGGTCATCTAGAAGGTTATAACAAAATGAATGAGACATGGTTTTCAGTGATGCAATATTTATTTGTGTTCACGTTCTTTCCCTTCAACATTATCTCAAGCTTTTCCAAAATTGCTTTATTTGATTCCACTGTTGGCCATTGTAGGAGCCCTGCACATACCCTTCCCTTTCACTTCAAATGGTACTCCTTTGTATGTAGCAATACACTGGTCATTGGTCTGAAGATCAGGTTGGATCTGCTCCCATATTTTCTTCTTGGGATTAAGTTCTTTCTCAGGTTCACCTTTTTTTAAAAAAAGAAAAAGAGAAAATAAGAGTTGAAAGTGAAACTAAGAATTTGAAATATCATGTTCTTTCACAATGTAATGGAAGTGATTTACACTACTAAAGCAAACAAATTTCTTTTCATATCAAAACAAATGTCACATGGTACTTGGATTTTGGAATCAAATTATTATTTCAAAACTGTATGTGTACTTATGCCTCTTAACTGTAACATACAGACATTGATAAGAAAAATAGAAAGTCATGAGCTACTACAGATGTAAAAATCATAACTTAAACCAGCCTTTCTCAACCTTTTTACCCTGGAGGAACCCTTGAAATAATCTTCAAGTCTCAGGGAACCCTTATATAAAAACAGTTAACCCTCCTCGAATTTCACAATACAATCCATGCTTTACAACTTCTTCAACAGCAGCGAAGTGGCAGGACAGCGGCTAAGTTGTAGAGCATACAAATTCTCACCACTGTGAGCGCTAGGACTGTGCAGCAGACAAAATTTAAAAAGATGTTTGTTTGTTTATTCAATCACAATCTCTCGTGAAACCTTAGTTGAGAGAGGCTGGACTTAAACTAATGTTATAAGATGGAGAAGAGTCAAAATAATGTGAACTCCCTCCCCTCATCATTCCTCTCCATGACTAGTTACTATATTTGCAAAAAAAAAGTATTAACCAGAGTTAAAAGGTGACTTGGCTTCTGGCCAATATATAAAAGAATGGTTTAAAGCTGATTTCAAATTCTAGCTAGTATCTGTGCAAATTAATAATCAATCATGCTTAGGTCTGGCAAACTAATTTAAAATCACCTTCAAATAGTATCTACAATATAAGATACATTGCTTTGGGTTTGTTTTATTTCACGTTTCAAAAAATCACTCAAGTATGTTCAAAATGATTAAGAATAAAATAATGCAGCTTTCCCCATGCAACCTAAAGTTATGGGCTGGTAAGAGTAATGCCATTTTATGCTGTAAATGATTCTGGGGTTACAGCAGTAGAATAATACAATGCCCAAGGGTAAGATTATCAAAACCATTTAAGTGAGCTAGGTGTTCTGCTTCCCATCAGAAATGTGAGATACCACGCAGAGTAGCAGTAATGCTTTATTCCTTATTTCCTTCGTACAGGACTCACACAGCAATTAGTGTCCACTTTAGTGAACTTACATGAGCATGTCTTCTAAAACAAGGAATTTATCTAGTAACTGAAAGCCCTTGTATTAGGTATACATTATTGGAACTATATCCAAACATTTTACATATTTGAATTTTATTTATACCTTATTAGAACAAGAGACAATTCATTCGTCAGGTACTAAATGATGTATAGGTTAACAGACAGAGAATGATGCTAGTGATTTCCTATTCCTGTTTGCAAGAGCAGGTGGATATCATAAGAAAAACCACCTCAAAGATCTATCTGGCCTAACGTTCTCTTCCTACAAGTGTTCAACAAAATATCTAAGAAAAACCCTTAAGCTAATACATGGATGTTGACAGCTTCTTCCTATCAGTATTTGCTAGCAACTGGTCTTCAAGGCAATGCTACATATGGCACTGTTTGCGGTAACTTTAACCGCTTTCTGAACCTGTGACATTTATAGCCATTATTCCATCTAGGAGCAACAACTACTGGAGCTATTTCAGAAGGCAGATACAAAAAAATTCCATATGCTGCTTGACTATGTCATGTGATACAGGCGCCATAGAAACTATTCCCCACATTTTATTGTACTGCTGTTTTTATACAGATATTGGAATCTGTTTTATTTCTTCTTACCTGGTAAAATATCCAAGTCATTCTGATACTTTCTACATACAAACTCTGCTTTCCAATCAGTGGGACTCTACATCCCTGGATGTTGCCAAATTTTGTTAAGATAAAATCCAAGATAAGATCCAAGCTGACTAATCCCTATCCCTCAATATAGTATAAGTATGGCTAACTTTTGAACAATGCTAAATGGGTGTAGATAGATAGATGGATAGATTTTTATTTTAACCTACCTCTACCTTAGAATTTTAGCACTGTCTCTTAGTTTTAGATAAATAATGCTGTTTTTTAGTTCTAGGGACACAATTTACACTGGTAATAATAGTGATAATAATATTCAGTACTATTCCTTTAGCTTGTGTTTCATGTTTGGCCCTCTACTTTTAAACAGGTTGTTAATGGTTTTCTCTATACAGGTCTTTGACTGAAATAAACTTTGAATTGAATAAATATTATCTTTTTCAAGGCATCTATATATAGTATTATTTTCATTATCTATCACCACGTCAAGGACACTTAGCACCTGCTTAGTCTTTGTCAGTATTTATCTGAAATTAGGATTTTTTATTTTGGCCCCCATGTGCATATAAGTAGTCCTTGTTTAGTGACTGTTCAAAGTTACGATGGTGCTGAAAAAAGTGAC